CTTACGCTCATACGCTGTCACGGCCAGAGCAGTGTGTAAGAGGCATCTGCGCATTAGTGTCATATTACTTCAATCACCGGACTTTCGACACCGACTGTGTGGATCATCCGGCCGGGCGAGGTAACACTTACAAAATCACGATACCTGGCAATTATAGACTCTTAGAGCTTGGGGAATATTGATTACTAAATGAAGCGTATTGATTATATACCCGCTATAATAAAAGTGTCAGATTGGCCCCACGTGTGCATCCTGGAGAGGGGTAAAGAGTGGCTCGCGATTACCTAAGAAAGAAGAGAGAGAAAAAAAGAAAAGATAAAAGCTTTTATGCTGATATAAGATCCAAGTAAGCAAGTGTCCTATCTCTTTTACGATATATTTATTGATAATCTGATTTATAAAAATCCCTTATGAATAATCGGTAAACAAATATTTCATTTGTTATTCAAGTGCCGTCAATATAATGAAGCAGAAGTCATTGCCACTACAAGAGATCACTAACATTCCGAACATCACAAAACGCATGAATAGGCTGTGACTTTGACGAAGTATACCTTACTAATATTATTCCTAGTGTCTAGACATTTAGTACTTTATAACTAAGAGATAACAGAGAGGGTTAATTTTCTTTACGTTAATTTAACTGTAAATCTACTTTTACTTATATAGTAACGACTGAACTAATCACATTTTCTCTCGTATAATCTCTTTCAATTTGTGATAGTGATAGATATATTGGCACTGTATCACTGTAGGGAAATAATAGGCCGTATTAGCGTATTAGTTATATATTAAACCTTGAAATATAAACCCTTTTTTATGTAACATTAATATCATTTTGTAAAACAACGCTGATCTTAATTCGTGAAGTGGCTCTTGGGGAAGGCTGTGATTGGCGCCACTATGCTAAACTACTTTTAGAAGTTCTTGTGTGACATATAAGTAATTAGAGAGGGATTAAAGTTATTGGCAGATAATTTACAAATGTGACCGTGACAACTTATGATAACAGCAAAAAATAATTATGGAAATTGTGAACGACAAAAAATGTAATAATTATTATCCTCATCCACTTTTATGACCGTTTATGTGTAGAATGAACAGTAAAAATAAATAATTCTGCAACTGTAGTTTATCTGTAGCAACGTAGGTGGCATTTTATTTACAGACGTTGCCGAGGTGATATTTATTAAGAAGTGATATTTTACTGTAAAAACTACCACCTTAAATGTGATACACTAGGACTGCCTAACGAGTTCAAGATTGAACCCTCAGAATTTGTGTAGAGTTTAACATAATGGTGTGCGACAGGTTATCGTATCGGGACAGGTAATGTGCTGGGATAAACCTGTCAAGAGAGGAATATGTGTGTGTGTGTGTGTGTGTGTGTGTGTGTGTGTGTGTGTGTGTGTGTGTGTGTGTGTGTGTGTGTGTGTGTGTGTGTGTGTGTGTTATCAATAATACAATAATACACGCACACTCGTGCGTACGTACACATTCACACACATGTGTATATATATATATATATATATATATATATATATATATATATATATATACAGATACATATACTTATCAGTATACATACATATATATATATATATATATATATATATATATATATATATGTATATATATATATATATATATATATATATATATATATATATATATATATATATATATATATATATACACATATCGACACATACATATACATATATGTAACGTGTTGCATTATGAACCTAAATGTTACACCCAAGATGGAGGTAGATTACGCTACATATTAGAACTTGAAACTATAGGCTAATAGTATGTATCCTGCAAATAATTTGATAATCAGATACTCCATACCAAAACCAATCCTTATGCGGAAATAGGAATAGGTGAAGACTATATCCATTGAATTTGAAGTAAATCACGCAAAATTACTCCACGACTACTTCCTACATGATTTAGATTGGGAAAATAGGGCATGATCCCTTCTGTGTCATGTACGAGAATGTGTAAAATCCAACTGGTATACCTTTCTTCAAATTTGTAATCAAATCAGTAATAATGTAAATTCCGTAAAAGAGAAATAAGAATTTTAAACTAAGGGTAGACAAAGAAAACGTAGGATAGTCTTGACTTCAAGGGGTGGCTATCGTATTCAAAAAATGTTCAGCTCGTACATCAAGACAAATAGTCTCCAATCAGGTATCATATAACGTCGAGTGTGAGTGAATGAGTGTGTGTGTGTGTGTGTGTGTGTGTGTGTGTGTGTGTGTGTGTGTGTGTGTGTGTGTGTGTGTGTGTGTTGACAAACGCATGACGATACGTTATTATCGATAAGCCACGTCTCATATTTCTACTTGATAAATAATTGTCTTAAAGTGTCCTCAGTGGTAAAAGTCTTAGGGTGTGAGGTCTGGTGATAACAAAAGGATGGACAATGCACAGGGGAACAGTGTCTCATCCAGGACACTGACATCCACTGACAACTGATCCAGTGGCGTCGAAAACCGCTGTAGCCCTTCAGGAAACAGCCACTCAGCATTAAACAATAGACGTAACGGAGCCTTGCAATGTGTGAGATACAATTGTGACAATGATAATGAGATTAGTCAAAAGTAATGCGTAAAATTCACATGTCACAAGCTTGTGTCAGAAGCAGTGATTAGGGATATAGTGTTTGTAAATGTTTTACCTTTACTCTGATCACCTATAAACCTTACGTGAAGTAGTCTAAGTTGCTATTAATTTGTAAAATGCTGTATGGATGTACACAATATCCACGGTGAATAAAGCTTTCCCGAGTTGAAGCTCTTGGCATAAAAAGACTATTGGGTTCTTAATCTCAGTCTTATCCTGAGATTACACACACACACACACACACACACACACACACACACACACACACACACACACACACACACACACACACACACACACACACACACACACACACACACACGCGTGTCTTCTGTATATGTATTCTTATCCATCTGTCTTCTGTCTGTCTGTCTGCCTGTCTCTCTCTCTCTCTCTCTCTCTCTCTCTCTCTCTCTCTCTCTCTCTCTCTCTCTCTCTCTCTCTCTCTCTCTCTCCCATTCACACACACACATGGTGCGCATGTGTGTACAGAGTAGGACTGGGAGATTAAGCTCGAAGCCGGGGCATTTTCCTCGCGGCTGCAGCATCGGGGAGAGCACAGCCGAGCAAGGCCACTCGACCGAGGCGCTGCAACTGTACCGTCGATTCGTGATCACGGCCGGGTTGTTTGCTGTGAAGGTCAGGTTCATGCGTAAGATGTTTGGCCTTACGTTCAGTTGCTTGTTGTCAAGTTCAAGGTGAAAAAAATATATAAATGAGTTCAAGGCCAAATTGCTTTTTATCTAGTTAATGTTATATTGTTATGCTCAAGTTCAACTGTTCAGATTATCAAATATTGTCAAATATATGATCACTGTGATAAATATCACAAAAAGAAGTATGAATGACAAAAGAATATCCTGACTCATCGCTTTATAGAAATCCATGCTCATCCATACATTTTTCTACATCAAAACTGTATAATCACCATGAAGCTGTAGCCCTTGAGAGCCAATTTCAAACTGCTTGTTACCAAGTTCAAGCTGGTTCAAGGCCGAACGAGGGCGTGGGAGGCATCGGGAAGCTGTTAAGAGGAACCGAGAGACTTCTGTGTTCCGAGAAAAGCGAGGGCTGAAGAACTCATGAAAATGCCTCAGGACCCATGGCGACACTGGCGCTGGCGAGCTGCCTTTTTACGATCGTGATGCGTTTAGCGTTCGAAGCATTAGTTTTGCCAGCCTTTAAGATTCGCCGTTTTGGTAAATGAAAATATGAGAGTGCAACCTCAAAGAAATGACGCCTAACACGTGTATACAATGTACATATACATGCATATATATACATATATATATATATGTATATATATATATATATATATATATATATATATATATATATATTTATATTTATATATATGCATATATATATGTATACATATGCATATATATATATATATATATATATATATATATATATATATATATATATATATATATATATATATATATATTTATATATATATGTATATATATGTATGTGTGTGTGTGTATATGTGTGTGTGTATTCTGTAGTAGTATTAGCAATACTGGCAGTCTGAGTGAAACAGACGTTAAAATGATAATAGATAGTGTTATATACGTTGACATAGGCTGAGGTATATTACGACTTTACCGATAAAGGGAATATTTTTCACTGCATGCATTACACTGTTTCTGGATAAGTAGCTGCAGGGTCTGACTCACACGTACCTCTTTATTAACAGTCGCACTCACTTTAGCTTTACAAAATGTCTTTTCAAGTTTTGACTTTACAAGAATTATGTTTCAACAGTAATTTGTCTTAACGGAAAAAGTCTCTTCATATTTTTTTATGATATATTTCACCTGCATTTGTCTTTACGAAAACATAGCTAAATATCTATCCTTCTGTCTATCTACATATCTATTTATCTATCTATATCTATCTATTTTCTTAACAGAAATGTGTTCCATTCGCAATTATGTTTATGAAAATATGCTATATCTCAACGTGTTGTCTTTACAAAAAAAATATGTTCCACCAGTATTTGTGTTTACGAATTACCGGTAATTAACTTGACAGACATTTACCTCATCGTTGCTTGTCTTTACGAAAATATATTGGAAATGTGAACTGCAACTGCATCTCGTCATCCTGATTTTTCTTTCATTCTCTCATCCAGTTTTCTTTGTCTTCCTTTCCTTCTCTCAGATTTCTTTTTCCTTCTTTTACTCTGATTTATTTTATCTTTTATCTTTTATTTTCCATCCTTTCCGACTGAATCGCTTTGTTATTCTCTTTCGCTGCGCGCGTCAGAAGCCCACCCCACCTCTTAGACATAATAAAAGGCAGGAAATATTATGCAGGGAATCCCAGGCAGGACTTTGAAGGGAACGCGGAAGAGAAGA